TTATGAAATAAAAGCAATTTAGTAAAATATGAACAAGAAATAGAGATAGAGAGAAGGAAGAGATTTTCTTCTTCAATTGTGTGTATTTTCCTATCTATTACAAGACCTTTATATAGGCATAAAAAGTGAAGAAAAATATGTCACTGAATATGTCATTAAGCATAAAAATATGTCATTGAATATGCCATTAAGCATTTGAGAAGATCATGGAGGAAGAGTAGACATCCACCATAATTTGATTTTTCTTATAACATACACATATATATATATATATATAACATATACTAATGCAAGTATTAGTAACTACTTTTATGGACTAAATAACTTTATACTTAATCCATGGCTTCATTCAAAGTGTAATATAAAAGAGAGAGAAAAGAAAAGGACATATCAACAAACTAACTGACAAAAGGAAGAGCTCAGAGCTAACTTCAATTTGAAGCCAATATTATTATGCAACATCTGCTTCAAGATTTTGACTCTCCACGTAATAGTGTTTAAAACCAAATATCAGATAACCATTTTATTTTTACATTAACTTCTAAATTTCATTTCTCAAAAAAAATCCTTTACCTCAAAATGCCGTCATATCCAAAAAACTTTAATGCCCGAACATCCTCCTCGTACTACTTCCACAACTCCCGTAGATCAACAATCTTAATCCTATGTTTTCTTCTCATTTTTACTGGCTTTTTTTCTGTGTTTATTGTAATTTTGAGGCGGGGTTTAGGATACAACTGTAAATATGCTAAGCCCAGATCTGTTTCTGTTCTTTGGGATGGAACTGTGAGTAAAGGAAATGGGCTTTCTGATGGAGAATATAAGAGGCAAAAAGTTATGGGCTTTGTTGGTATTCAGACCGGGTTTGGATCGGTTGCTCGCCGGCGTTCGTTAAGGCAGACTTGGTTTCCCTCCGATCATCAAGGGCTTCAAAAGTATTGCCTTTTTCTATATCCAAATGTTAATATTTTTTAATGGACTAAGTTGTATAGGTTAATGGTGTAAAGATTTTAACATCTTAACTTGCTCTGTAGGTTGATAGTGTAAAGATTTTAACATCTCGTTAGGTTATTACTATTGTTTGTTGCTTTGTTTTCTCTGTTACTTGAGCCGAATCTATCGGAAATAGCGTCTCTAACTTTATATAAGGTAGGGGTAATTATGCGTGCACAATATACTTCCTAGACCCCCTTATAGGATTACACAGGGTTTTTTGTTGGTAGGTTATGGTGTTAGATTTTGGTTTCACATGTTAACTTGCTCTTTGGACGCGAATGGAGCAGAATTGATTCATTAACCGACCCCAACTAGTTTGGATTGAGGCATAGTTGTTTGATTAATAGATTTTAACTCTCTCTACTCCAATTTCAGTTTATCTATTTACTTTTGAAAGCCTTGGGGTAGCTACATTTTCTTTTTGAAAACAAAAAAGGCAGGTTCTTTGCGTTTATGTAGCTTTAGGGACAAAGATGCAGTAGGTATACTTACAGTATACCTTAAATAATTTTTGAATATCAGCAAGATATGGTGGTACTACTTACTACAAAGTTTGTTTTCTTTCTAACCAAAATGAAAATCTATTTCAAACAATTTCATGTTCTTTGAATCATTTGTCATGTGCTGGCTATTTTATCTGACTGTGTCCTGAAACTTGACCGACAAGAACTTATGTGAAGTTTACCAATATGTTGTAGATTATTAGCTTAAATAAAGCATGCGAAAATGGGATGGAATGAGACATAACACTTATAGTAGAGTCACTAAGCTCAAGAACAAAAGAGAGGGAAGGAGCTTACTGGCTGGAAGAACTTGAGAGAATAAATTCATCAGGCACTTCTTTGAAAGTTATTTTATTTTTTCACTAAGAACTTCAACAGACACTTGAAGCATGGTTGATTGAAATCCTGATAAATTTCCAAAGATTTCTATAGTAAATTCTCCTATTCAGCTCTTCCTCTTGAATTTTTGAAACATTCACTCTAGCCTTTTCCAATAACCTTGCCTATGTGTATATGCATTGACCTGTCAACTACTTGTATATGTAGTTGTTACTACCCCGTATTCGTGAAATCTGCTTGACTGTATTTTGCTGAATCGGCTGAATGATTCAGGTTAGAAGAAGCCACTGGCTTGGCTTTTAGATTTGTTATTGGTAGAACAAGTGATAAATCGAAGATGTCAGCGCTCAGGAGAGAGGTAGCAGAATATGATGATTTTATACTATTAGATATTGAAGAAGAGTACAGTAAGCTCCCATACAAAACGTTAGTTCTAACATTTATTTTTCACTACTTCCTTCCGTTCGTGATTTACACTTACGCATGATGCTTTTACAGCTTAGCTTTCTTCAAAGCAGCCTATGCACTTTACGATTCCGAGTTCTATGTCAAAGCTGATGATGACATATATTTACGGCCAGGTAGCTAGAATTATGATGCTTTGTTATTCTTCTTGTTCTTTACTTGAGGTCTGAATGAAATGATTAACATAATGTTGTTTTGATATTCTATGAACAGATCGGCTTTCACTGCTCTTGGCCAAAGAGCGGTCTCACTCACAGACGTACCTTGGTTGCATGAAAAAAGGTCCAGTTTTCACTGACCCCAAGCTCAAATGGTTAGTCTGATACGAGTTTCCTATATGCTGAGACAATCGGCAAGATACTGTTTTCATGTTTATTTGCTCTAAACGCGCGAAGGGCATTCCAAGAAGTGGGAATTTTGTTGTATTTTGATGGCTGAAGATTTTTACTGCTAGTGAGTTTTGTACACACATGACACAACAGATCTCAGAGGAAAGAGTACTTGTGTTTTGGGAGTTTACCAATGTTGAAGTAGCTAGAGAGCTACTAAACAAACTCCACTTATCCTAAACTACAACTCGATTCCTAAACAGACTAGGATGCATTATTGGCCTTCTGAAAGTAAAATGAAGAAAGCTGGTGAATAGGATATTAAATGCACTAATTAAGACTGCACTAAACGAAGATAAATTCCAGGCAGCAAATAAATTAAACCATCTTCGAAATTTCAGAACTCCTTTAATGTTTTATGCTACTCGATTATTTAATGGACTGCATGAAATCCAGTGGATCATTTTTGTGTTCTTTATTAGTGTGATGTCAATTTCAAGTCTTGTTCTCGCTTCGTATATTAACATCAACTTCCATGTCAGTATCAGTACACTGACTGATACTGAGAGAAGCATTCTTTGGGAAAGATCAACACTAGTTTCCTGGCAAAAGTTCTGAGTACATGTCAAAGATATTTCTCTGGCTGAACCGCAACTTAGAACCGATTGAAGCAATAAAATACAGTTAGACAAACAGGAAAGAAGCTTAATTATCTTCTTTTAGACTGAGAGATGAAAACGTTAATATACGCAAAAAGGTTTCCTGTCTAAATTTTGAGTAAAGGACGAAGATATTTCTCTTGCTCAGGGAAATATCAGAACGAACTGAGGTAACAAAATAGAGTGAGAGAAATAGGAAAGAAGCTTTTCTTCCTTTTTCTATTTTGGTTTTTCTATTTTTATTGATGTGTGGGTATTTTCTTTGTTCAGAATGAATTATCTTCTTCTCACTTTTCCTTTTCCACTTCTTTTTTTTCTTTTTCCTTTGAGGGCTAAAGTCAACAGTGACAATCAAGACACGAAAGCTTAAGCTTGTTGGACTTAGATGTGATTCTCGCCTCCCAATTCGGCATACAAACTGCGTAAATATTATTAACAAATGTGATGTCCTAAAACAAGATGCCCAAGCTCATTCCCAAAATTGTATTTCTGAAGTTATGATTCTCGTTTTAGGTATTCTCCCCCTCTTATTTACTTATTCATTTATTTTTGATCATTAGCAACCAACCCAAAATATGATCATTAGCAGTTTATGCCTGTTAATAGATGCTGTGGAGCTTGTGACAATGATGAGAAAAAGAAGATGTAGATAAATACTTACCAATGACTAAATGTGAATGAAAAATGTGTTGTTGTGTTGTCTATTATCAGGATTATTGTTGTTCTTATCCTCAGTATTGTCTGATTTGTCTCAATGAATCTGTACAACTATTACAGGTATGAACCACTTTCATCTATTCTGGGGAAGGAGTATTTTCTGCATGCTTATGGTCCTATTTATGCTCTCTCTGCTGATGTTGTTGCAAGTTTGGTTGCCCTGAGGAACAACAGGCAAGTGTGATTTATTCAAATATTTCTGTCACTCATCTGTTCTGAAGTGATTTTTGTCATCAGAAAAATTTTTTCTGTCTATAGCAGTAGGAGGAAGCTTTTCCTGTGTATGATGTAAGACTTAATTCAAGAGCATCTGCTAACTATTCACAAATTGATGCTTCTCTTTTTCTCCAACTTGAGTAATGGTAACATGAAATTTTAAAAGATGTAACTAATGAAGTAGCTTGTTTCATCTGAGCTAAGGTTATTGATCGGAAGTCGAGCATTGTTAAAATATAGGGAAGAAAGAGGATCTGCTGGCAATTTTTTGACATGATTAGATGATTTTGCTGTAAAACTAGAATTATCAAAAACAGACATTTTTTCAGTACATTTTAGCAACGAGAAGTTGCAGTTATAACTCTTAAGTTGAGAATATATATGGACATTTGGAAGATCACAAAACTAGATTTAACACGAGTTCTTTATTTGTAAAAATCTGGGTATATCCTTTTAAATACACTTTTTTGCCTATCATCTCAATCACACTGTTTTTGGGATACATTTCTTTATTTTATTGAGCCTTCTGCCTCTGCTTGTTTCTAGTCAAAGGGAGTGATAACTAATCAGTTATTCCTTTTTTCTATGAATTCTCAGTTTCCGAATGTTTAGCAATGAGGACGTTACCATTGGAGCCTGGATGCTTGCAATGAACGTCAATCATGAGAATAATAAGCAATTATGTGAACCAGAGTGTACGCCGTCGTCCATTGCTGTGTGGGATATCCCAAAGTGTTCAGGTTTGTCCTCTAATCTTTCATTAAGAGAACCATTCCAATAAGCTCTCGCAGTCATCAATTGTGTTGGAACACATAGCAAATATGTTTTTGCTTTGGTACATCCTGGATGATGAAATTCGAACGTTTAGCAATGCAGATGAAAAACTGTTTGATTTTGTCTACTTCCTATACACGGTACACATATTGCTACAAAGAATATCCAACATGTACTATTAGCTAATAAACTATATTAGTGATGGTGGAAATAACAATCTTATAATGTACAAATATATTGACTATTTTGACACTTGGTTTCTTTATCATTGATCTCTGTGTTCTGTTTGCACATTGTCTCGTCTCGAAATTCTATGAAACACTAAATGATGTTTCTATAAGATGCCCGAAATTCGTTTAGTATGGTTAACCAACAAGGTAGCATAACTCCTTTTCCATAAGCACTACTTTCCCTGGTATCTGGTGCGATTAGCGCACCTCTGAACCAGCTAGATGACTTAGCAAGTAATTTGATAAGATTTCAGATATTGACTATATTTCTTCCTGTTCTTTCCAACTATCTGATAGCATTCTTTCATTGATTGTATCCTTTAGGTCTGTGTAATCCCGAGAAGAAAATGTTGGAACTTCATGCAAACGACATCTGCTCAAAGAGTCCCACTCTACCATCAGATGATGAGTAGATCTATCCTGTTCTCTCGGACTAATGAGCGTAGTCAATGTTACTGCTGGATTTTTGTCTCCACTGAAAGTCACATATTCATTTTGTAAGCTACATATGAGGTAGATATAAGAAATATATTTTTCCACTGATGTGCACAAAACTTAAAGGGAGTGTTATGAACAGTGATCAATGATTCATATAGCATTATAGCTGACCTCAACTTGCTTGGGATTGAGGTGTAGTTGTTGTTGTACTTATGTTGCACAGAGCGAACAGAATTTTAATACTAGTAAAGAAGATTTTCTATTGCAACTGTTTGTGCTTGGTTTAGGAGTAAGAGATTCTCTACCTTGATTCTCTGTCGTGTTAATCAACTATTAACTGCAATTATGTGAGTTCAAAACCACATTAGTCATGCCAAAGAGTTTCAGTGTATCTTACATTAAGTGACTAAGATGTTTGTATGATAACTTAGTATAACATTTCATAGCATTGACCAACAAAATCAGGTTGTTGGGCTATTATATGTTACAATGAGAGTCATGACCGATATGTAACATTCTAGGAAAATTCGACAAAACAAGAGGAAGATGCTAGGTATATAAGAAAACAAGTCTTAGACCATGATGATGATGCATTTTAACGTCGTTCTTATGTATGTATAATCTAATGTGGAATGTGCTTAGTCTCATGTCTTGACATGTTGGTGATGATTTACCCATAGGCATGCATTTTGTCAAGAAGTTTGTAGACTTAGAGGTCAATGAGAAATGAAATTATAATGTAAAAAGTTTACTTGATATTTATATGTATTATTAGCCAAGATTGAACAAAAAAAATCTGCAAATAGAAGTGTGAATACTAGAACAACCATGCTATAAAGCTATAAAACTGACAGTGTATATATAACTTAACCTCTTTCTTTAATGAGAAATTGATCAGCCACCTTTATATTCCATTCCAGACACTCTAACCAAGTTGCCTAAAGATCCAAGAGGAAATTACACCCAGAAACATTGAAAATGGATGGTCTTGAATTTTTGACCCCCCGCTTGCCCCATGGGTAAACCTTTAGGGGTCGTTTGGTTGGAAAGAAGTTATCCCAGGATTAGTTATCCCGGGATTAGTTATCCCGAGATTAATTATTCCACCTTTCCATGGGGATAAAAAAATACTACAATATCGGGATAACTAATACCGGGATTAATTATATTACAATTTTCTTCCAACCAAACATGGGATAAACTCTTCTTAAATTTAGTCCCGGGATTAATTATTCTTTATCCCTCATACCAAACGAGCCCTTAAGGTCAAAAGTCAAACGTGTTATCCATGGAGAAAGCGAGGGGCAATAGTAGTTAAACTTGAAGTTCTGCCTATGGGACAAGCGGATCGAAAAATCAATAGTTGTACCGAAATGTCCTATTTGTGCAAATCACCCAAGATCCAAAAGAAGAATTAACCCAAATAGCCGCGCACCTAATCTTTTAAACTAAAAATGACCCGTAGATATATAAGATATGTATAATTCATATATAATATGTGTATAATTATGTATAATCTATGTATACCGGTTAGACAACGTAAACAGTGAATCTGACCGACTATTTGTGTAACAATCCCGATCCAAAATGTGCCAAGCCCACGGAAACTTCCAAGATTGGGCTTCTTATGAAGTGGACCTTTCATCCTCTAGTGAATTATTGGGCTCTAAATTTGGTTATTGGGCTAAGCAAACTGAATATTGGGCTGGCCAAACAGGTACTTAGTTTCTTGGAGAAGGATTACACATAGCTTTATGTTACTGTAATTTGTTTTAATTATTATCAAAATTAATACACAAACAACTCAATTACTTGAATACCTGTTTTAAAAATTTTAAAACTTGCGGTATTAAAACATGCTATAACATTTGTATGGCTATAAACACTTGCTTTTAAGGGTAAAATAAGAAATTTAAGTTAAATTATTTTTAAATTTAGAAAAAAAGTTATTCTTTTTTAAACAAAATAATTAAAAAAATATGTTCACGTAAATTGAAACGTAAGTATGAGTACATGACTTGTATACAGGTTTATGTTACTCGAACTCTCTGAAAATATTATCGTGCGCTTGTCAAATCCTTCAAAAGTAGTACATTTTTTAAGGATCCAATATAGGTGCGGCAACATTTTAGAAAGTTCGCGCAACATAAATACAGGTCCAAGATCAAGGGTGGATCTAATGCAAGGTTTACGGATTTTCGTGAACTCGGTAACTTTTGCGTAGATCCTGTATTTATACTAAAAACTTCATTCAAAGTATAAGAATATTTAGCTTGGAACCCATTTCATTAATCCAATTATTATGTATATTAACTTGAGATCGTTGTAGGAACTCATAAACTTAAAATTCTGAATTCAATAATAGCACTATTTGACATACCCTTTTGTGTCCTTTGATCTACATGACATTATTCTAGGTACATATGTCAAACACAAAATTTTATATGACTATCATTATAGGTGACGACTGAACAGAAAATTATATAAACAAATCTAACCTAAGGTTGTGCCAAAGTTTCTTTTCTGACTATCAAAGGATGTGGTGCAGTGGATGTGGTTGGTCCTCCCTTGACCAGATGTCTCGAGTTTGAGTCTTGGGTATGAAAAAATTCTTGGTAGGGAGCGCTACCCTCCGAATGGGACCCTACCCGACACGAATCTAAATATAATCGAGCTCCAATGCAGGTACCGGACACCGGGTGAGAAACCCAAAAAAAAGTTTCTTTTCTGAACAACAAAGATTCAGATGCATATGAATTGAAAACTAAGAAAAATATCAATGTAACAGAAATGGCCAGTGAAGAACTTAACGACAAAATATTCACTGGCCAAGACATGAGGAAAACTCTCTTTCTTGAGTAACTTTTAATTACTCTGATTTCTGAATATGCCCATACCCTTTTCTCTTTCTTTTTCTTTTATTTTTTCAGATTTTCCTAAATACAAGGAATCCAATGAACCCCATGAGCTGACAACTAAGATTAATACCATATATATACCATCAAAGAATCGGGATCGATGGATAAGATCTCTTCACTCGTAATAAAAGGTATCGGGTTCGAGCTTGAAGAATAAAAACAATATAATATAAAAAACTTTTGCCTTTAATAGACCTATATGGTTCAAATTCAGATTAGTCGGAGTCCCATTACGAATACCGAGTACTCGGTGGAAAAGAGAAAAAAAAATAATATTATTAGCTTATATTTTATATTTGGTCATGTGGTTTTTCCAATAGATAATAATATCTCATGGAGGATAAAGGACAGAGTTCTTATTGCTAGCCTGGTTAAGCTACCAATTAGAGATTTTCAAGACTTGGATATTTGGAATGGAATCTATTGCTTATATTTTCCAATATCAATAGTATAATGAACATTGAAAATAATATTTTATTTTATTCTGTACAGCAAGTAACTTATCTTAGTTTTTAGAAAACTAATTCTATCTTTTTAGCAGCTACATGTAATTATCTTTTAAGATCAAATAAAGTAAAAAAAATTTATGNATATATATAGAAGCTTTGACATTTTCAAAGGTTTGATTTCCGTTAACTGCTCAGATGCCATGTTTTAAATTAAATATTGCAAAAGCAATTTTTTTGCCTAACTCTCACTCTACATGACAGTCATTGAGAATATTTGTAAAATATATAAATTGCATGGACATGTGAAAAGAAACGTAGGATAAATCAATAAAGGTTAAAACAATAATAATACGATAAAAATGCATGAGTTGTGGTAAGTTGGATAGAATCTTTCCATTTTGAGCTTTCAAGTTAAAATTATCAGAGGTTGTTTTTCTTAATAAACTTATGCGACGCAGATATGGATTAATTAGGGTATTGGACACAGTGGCAGATTCAGAATTTTTATTAAGGGTGTTAAAATATAAAAAAGTAAATATACCAAAAAATTAAGGGGAGTCAATACATGATATATATACATATAAAAAAAAATTTACCTACCTATCTATACAATATATTTTTTCCGCAAAGGGATATCGTTTGACTCCCCTTCCTGTAAGCTGGCTCCACCACTGATCGGACATAGGTGAAAGATAAAAATAAAATAAAGATATATAAAAAAATATATTATGAGTTTCATGTATTCCAAATTTGCAAGGGAATCTGTGAAGGAAGGGAGCCAATCAAGTAGTTTTTTCAGAGGAAAATCTGACAAATGATGATCTTTGTGTTTGGAGTTTTCTCTTAGTATAACTTTGTGAGACCGTACCTCTTATCCCTCACCATTCTATTTCTTGCTTTTTGTCTTTAAATACAACCCTAAATTAGAGCACCCTTCTGTCTTTCATGTGCCATTGCAGTTTCTTGAAAGCATAAAAAAAAATTATTAGAGAGAAAAATAAAGAGTAAGATGAATGTAAATTAAATGATGGTACATAACGTATCTCGAAAGTACAGAAAACAGCCGCAGCCTAAAGGTCAAGTGATATGACATAGACAACCTACTCTAATGCTAATATTGTCGGCTGCTTTCACGGTTCGAACCCGTGACCCAAAGGCGTATCCAAGTTGAGGGATATGGGTTCACGTGAACGCGTACTCCTCTCATAAACCATGTATAACAATGTTATATTTTTTTAAAATTACTTAAATATATGTGCGTGGATGCATGCTCAAAGACTATTATGGTGCAATTATTATTGGGTGCATCTCTACAAGTGAAATTGACAGTTTAAATCCCACTGTGAACGATCTTGTTTTCGGCACGGAGTATATGTGTGCGTGAAAATTACTAAAATTTCAAAAAAAATATAATTATAAACCTATAATTTTAAAGTGTAGTGGGTCATGGTAAAGTTAAACCATCCAAATATAAATTCTAGATCTTCCTCTTCATAGTAGTGCACTCATCCTCTTAAAATTTTGTATCCATCTCTGTCACGACCTATAGATCACACAAATACAATTTTATCATTGTTCTAAGGCGCTCTTTGAAAGAGTAAGAGGAATGTTACTTTTAATCGGAGTTCAAAAGACTATTCAATTGCATGCCATTAATTACCAGATTGTAGTAATGGAGTATGGTCAAATTATGGTGCATTCCATTTTATTTTATACATAAATAGTTTTGAGCCCAAAATAATATATTCAAAACTCACTCTAAATCCACCGCTAAGGAAAGAAATTAAAAGGTATAATTGAGGTTTTACTTTATTTGACATACTTTTTTATTTATTTTTATTTTAAAAAGAATGATATTATTCTAAATTTAAAACTTTAGAACCTTAAATTTTTTATTTTGC